GGAACTGGAAGACTAGTCAGGATAGAGGGAAAGATGAATGCAGCAATGCACAGAGACATCCTAAATGAAAACCTGCTTCTGTGTGCTCTTGACCTCAGACTGGGGGGCCGTTCATCTTCCAGCAGGACAATGAGGCTAAGCACACTGTTAAAATATCAAAGGAGTGGCTTCACAACAACTCTGTGAATGTTTTTGAGTGGCTCAGCCAGAGCCTAGACCTAAATCATATTGAACATCTCGGGAGAGATCTGAAAATGGCAGAACACTGTCACTTCCCATCCAATCTGATAGAGCTTGAGAGGTACTGCACAGAGAAATGGGCAAAAATTCCCAAAGACAGGTGTGCTGTGGCATCATATTCAAAAAGACTTGAGGCTGTAATTGCTGCTAAAGGTGCAATAACAAAGTATTGAACAAAGGCTGTGAATACGTATGCACATGTGATTTTTTAGCTTTTTCATTTTTAATACATTTGCAACAATTTCAAAAAACCTTTTTTCACATTACTATTATGGGATATTGTGTGTAGAATTTTGAGGAAATAAATTAATTTAATCCATTTTGGAATAAGGCTGTAACATAAAAAATGTGGGAAAAGTGAAGAGCTATGAATACTTTCCGGATGCACTGAATATCATTGGATTAAAACTGGACAATTATTTAGTTTTTTTATTACTATTATTTGTTTATTTCTTCTCTAGTCAACAAAAACAGTATAACAGAATCTAAAAGCATTTTATGATTTACCATTGAGGCTTTCATAACATGTAGTTCTAAGAACTAGCCACCAGGCCCAGTTACCCTAGAACTAAATTTTGCCTTCGGGTGATTTTCCTGGTTGCATGCACACCATCATACGACTTCTGAAGTGATGCATGCTGACCCAAAGCAAGATCAAGCATGACATTCAACGAAATACTGGGGGATCATGGGTAATGTAAGTTAAGCTGTGTGTTTGTTGTGTGTTTTGCGATATCAGAGTTGACATGTGGGCTTGAAACTATGCAGTTGATGAAATTATCTATGCCAACTTGTTTTGTTGCAAATCCCAGGGGTTGAGAAAATAACCCAACACCACAGACAAAGCCAACAGGTAAAAACATCTAACAATAAATTTGATCAATTTATGTTTTCAATTCATTTCAATGATTTTTTTTTATTTCTATAGCAATTTTACACTATAAATTGTGTCAGTGCAGGTGAACATAGAAGTTCTAGTAAATTGAAACTGTGTCAGTCCAGCATATGCATGTCTTGTAAAACTTTAAAATACTGTGCTGGTGAATGCATTTGCCAGTTAAACATATAATTATGTCTTACTCAGAAGTAGGGAGTAAATTTAGTTCCCCTAAAAGTCAGAATTAAATCTGTTCCCTGTGTGAAAATGGCCAAAAAGTGTCTACTTCTGCCTGTAATTATGAAAATGATGAAAACATTCCTCCGGTGCAAAAGGCCCTCATGAAATGGAACAGAAGAAAACAGGTTTTGTAAATAATCTGCTCCTATTTTTCCTTTTCGCAGTCTCACTCGCTTTTAAAAGAAACTAATTACAAGTGATCTAATGCTATTTTAACAAAACAACCAACTGCTTAAAATTGGGGAAAAAAACCTTTGGCTTATTTTTTGGAAATATATTGCATTAACTGCTGTCAAAACAATTCTCCCGTTCACATGGATCCTCAAAAATGACAAAACAAGTTGTATTATGCATTCAAGTAGTTGGCAACTTCACTTTTTTGGTAAAAGGCTTTTAATTTGGAACAAACAAAATACACAGGTACTTAGGGTTGTCACGATACTGGAATTTGGTACCAATCAATACTGAAATTTTAAAAGCGTTCATTTCCCTCTAAAATTTGAGCGCTGATTTGCCATTGTGTTCACGTGCTCAACACATATCTATGTTTACACTCAGGCCCCGTTTACATTAATACATTTTAGTTTTAAAACGTGTTTCAGAATGAAAACAACCTGTGTTCACACAGGCGTTTCATCTAGTGTTTCTGAACAATTCTCCATCCACACTGTACCGCTAAAAACACACATCACGTGACCACACACACTCTGGCATGCACTTCAGCATATGTGGGCATCTGAGCTTCTTCAAAACGAAGATGGGTGTGATATGGAACTTAGGGTATTTATAGTGGCTTAGGAATCAGCTGATTGGTGTTCATAAATTGAATAATGCCGGCTGCAAGCAATCATAACCACATGATCCTCTCGAAATTAGTTTATAAATAAACTTCACTTAAGAGTGTCCTCAACAGTGCTCAAATGTTAGCAGGAAATGGACGTTTCTTAAATTTCAGTATCAATTGGTAATGACAACCCTATAGGGACATTTACATGACAACATTTATAGCCACTAAGAAAAAATAAGAAAGAAAGCGTGTTATGTGTTTTGTCTGTTTGTTTACACGAGAACAGTGTTTCCAATGTCGTGACAATGTAAATGTCGGAAATGAGAATCTCTGAAAACGGGTAAGTCATGTGTGTGTTCATAGTACATGTTAAGGCTGATTTACACTTCTGCGTCAAGCGTCAATGCTACGATGCAGCCTACGTGTGGTTGCATAGCTCTCGACTTGGCCGTCGGTGACGCTGATGCACACCTCTCAAAAAATGCAACGACACGTAGCCCAAGTTCTGTGATTGGTCACCTTGCTAGCGCTAATGAGTGTGGGCCAAATGCATTGAGTGTTTACAAGTGTAGAGTCCAATGAAGAAGCTCCGGATGGAGACTGTTGTTTTGTGTGTATCTTACGATTAAAGCTGGTGCACGTCTGCTGATTTCACCCTCAAAATGAGTGAGTTTGAGCTACTTGTACATTAAGGTAGCGATCAGAAAAAACAAAACACCAGTGAAAAAACTCAACAAAGGGGAACATAAACACCTACTGCCAGCTAGCGTTTCTGAAGTGTTTTTGCAGAGCAACACACACAGCGCGCAGAAATATAAATGCACGACTACGTGCAAGGCAGGCGCCTTGGGTCACATCGATCACTTGACGCAGAAGTATAAACTAGGCTTTAGGGACGTGTCAATGAAAAGACAAGTGCGAACAAACAATGGTGGAGTAGGTGGTAGTGTTGTTGCTGCTCAAAATTGCTGCCCAGGTGCCAAGGTTTCATCAACTTCTACAACCAACAGTGCAGTGTCATCATATAGGTCAGTGGTTCTCAACCACATTCCTGGAGGAGTACTAGCACTGCATGTTTTGGATGTCTCCTTTGTCTCTCACACCCATTTAAGTCTTTCAATTTCTGCTAATGAGCTGAACATCTGAATCAGGTGTGTTTGGTTAAGGAGACATGGAAATGTGCAAAGCCGGTGGTACTCAAGGAACGTGGTTGAGAAACACTGGCTGCATCCGAAATCATCTACTACTTAGTAGGTTTTGCATTTGAATTTAAACATGCTTCTCGGCTGTTAGAAAAGTATGTTCTATACCACAGGTGTCAAATCCAGTTCCAGGAGGGCCGCGGCTCTGCTCAGTTTAGTTCCAACCCTAATTAAACACACGTACTTGCAGGTTTCAAACAAGCCTGAAGGACTTAATTAGTTTGATCAGGTGTGTTTAATTAGAGTTAAAGCTAAACTGTGCAAAGCTGCGCCCCTACAGGCACTGGATTCGACACCTGTGTTCTATACAGTATCAATGTCTGTGTTATAAATGGAACTTGGACGTACTACATCCGCCATTTTGTCATCATCACGTGCCAGTTTCGTTGTTCGTTGAATTCTCTCGGATGGCATCATGGAATAGTGTCCATCCAATGCGCTCTTCAGAATCTCGCCGTTATCCGGGTACTTCTCACATAATGTTTTTCGAATTCGGAAATACTTCTTGGCTCACATACTGTTTTTAGCGTACTATATGGTATGAAAGTATGCGATTTGGAACACAGATACATATATAGGCTATACACTGTAACTTTGACATACTTCCCTGAAGATACTGTTTACTAACAGTAAAGGCGACAGTGTCAAATATTAGCCTATGTCATATGTGATAAAAATTTTTTTTTTGAGGATTTCAGTAAAAGTGGATTGTTTTGAAAAACTTGTGTAAATGTAATTTTTTATAAAAAAGATAAACTTTTCATTTTTTTGTCTACAACGTGGTTGAACGACGAATAAAACCTTCTCCAGAGCAAGTTAGCCATGTAACGATTAAGTTACCATGGTTTCATCTAAAAATTCACTTTAATGTTAGAACTACCGAAGGCCGAAGCTACATTCATCATCTGAGCAATTAAATAGCAAATTTAAATTTTCAGTGTGAACTACCCTTTTAATGATGTCGATATTTTGCACGGTTACGTCTTGACACCAGTAGGTGGCGAAATTGGATTTATGGATAACTCGTGAACGATGACTCGTTAAATTGGGTAACAAAATGTCACGTTCATTGCTCGAAGGTCTTAACATTGCTGTTTTACTTTGTTTTGAACCGGCAGTAGTGTGTCAAAAATGTAAGTTAATCAATGTTAGCCTCATCGAATCGTTTCATAAAGTCAATATAATTATTCCAGTGATGATTGCCCTCAGCCTCTCACCGAATAATCACATTCATGCTGACTTTTTCGAACAAGCTGTCGAGAGTTATTGTGATGTAATTTTCGTACACTGGAACATTAATTATACATTTTGATAATACGTCGTTCTGCATAATTAAATGTAAAAACTTTAATTCAAAGCAATGTTTCTTAAATGTCATTGTAAATAATGTTTATCAACAAGTGGACTGAGTATCCTTTTTAAACAGTGACGATCACGCGAGCTAGTGGAGCACACGCAGCACTTAAACATGACTTTGGCTTATAACTTATACACTTTTTGATTCATTTCATGTCTGTAGTTTGGAGGAGAGTCTGAATGAGCTATGCGCTTCACTGCGGACCGATGAAACACAAATGCAGAGAAAACATAAAGGACGACAGAGCGTATACAATAAAGGTAAGCATTGCTATGTGTAGCCGATGTCGTCACTCACCAGATTGGCTTCAAATACTGAATATTCCTCTCGTGCGCTGGTTATTGCCTGTGTCGATGCGATCTGCCTCCGTTTGGAAACATAAGTGACCTCCTCTAGCTAAAAACGAGCCACAAAAACAGCTGTATAAACCAAAGCAAGGTCACTGGACTGGGGGTTGCTGATTAGCGGAGTTAGACCACCATCTCCTGGGCTGAGTCGGTGTTGCATGTACAAACACACTTGATTCGCAACCGCAAGGGGCGCTTCTGCATTTTAAATCTTCATTTTTTTTGGATTATTATCATAAAACATATTATTAACGTTATCATAGACACAAAATAAACACCAGAAATGATGATTTCTAGATTTTAATGTTAGGTTATGAACAGCTATGGGAAACATTTTAATTTACTTAAAAACCTTTTCAATGTATTTTAATTGTAAATCAGACACATGACAGCAGCAAATACACAATTACATTATATATATATATAATACTATATTAGGTTAGGTTAAGTTTGACTTCCCCAAAGGGAATTTCACATGTCACAGCAGAGCTCTCCATAGTAAAAATAGATAAATAAGTTACATATACATATAAAAACACTAATAAAATTAAATTTCATACTGCACACCTTAGTTCCAAAAAACAACGAGTAAACACTTGTCCATATCTAATATCTAATTCAGTTCAGCACAATTCATCTGGTATGACTTTGGTTATACAATCTGATCACTGTTGGTAAAAAAGACTTCCTGTATCTTTCTCTGTAACACTGGGGTTGAATTAATCTTGTACTAAAAGAGCTTGCACACGCTTGGACTGTATCAAAAAGGGGATGACTATCGTGATTCATTATACTGACAATTTTGTCCAGCATTCGATCATGTGCAATCTCTTCTATGGTAGGTAGTACACATCCCACAACAGAACCTGCCCTTTTTATAAGCTTATTTATATATGTATGTATAATATTGCCTAAGAACAAAAGTCGGAAATGGGTATCCTGGTTACCCTGACAATAATTTAGCGGAGCTGCCCAATACCCAAACTTGTTAACCCGTATTCAACTGAATTAACAACCTTCTATCAACATAGAAGTTAACTGAGAAAGCTAGAGAGGAGCAGAAGACGAAGTAATGATAAAGAAAGAGCAGAGTTTATTAAATAATCTTATTGCATGTGTTTTAATGCTCAGACTTCATCTGATCAGGATAAATCCAAAAAGTGTTATTTTGCCCCAAACAACAGCAATGGAAAATTACCACATTATAACATTGTCCAGTGACAATACAGACCTTCTTTTACTCATGAAAACAAGTGTTGAATCCACACATTAATAAGATCATAACAACATGGGGAAAAAGAGGATATAATAATAAAGTAATAAATATAGGAAATTAGTAATAAAAAATGTAAAAAAAAAAATAATAAAATAAAATAATCAATAATAATCAAATCTTTATCTATTAAGCAATAATATGATATAATGATAATTATATACAGTTCTCAGCATAATTGAGCACACCCCATTTTGAAAATATTTTTTTCCATTTCTCAATGAATATAGACAATGTATTTTGAAGCATTTAAACAAAACAGATTTGTTACACAGATATATTTATTAAATTAACATTTTATCATTCACCAAATGTCAACAAACATTTTTAGAAATTGAAAGATAATACAATTAAAGTCAAGCTAATTATTGCAAAATAAATTACAACCTACAAAATTTCAACTACATTTTTCAAAAAAAAAAATTTTTGATTCTCTTGATTTTTTCCACTTTAAAAAAAAAACGTTGTATTTAATATTTTTCTTTAACATATACATTTGAGTGTACTAGTTTTTGGACAGTTATTGTTAGTTATTTTGTGAGATAAGCTCCAGATTTGGCTGCCATCATTATAATCTTTAGTGTCATATAATTTTTCAGAGATCATTCTGATTTGCTGAGCAAGAAAAAAAAATGTCTATAAATGCATTTGTAATGTTACAAAAGATTTTGTCACCACTATTTTTGCTTTTAAAATATGCAGCGTCAGCCCGCGTTATTAATATTAATTATTATTAAAATAAGATAAAATATGATCATGCCTTGATTTTTTAATTATTTAATTAGGACAGTAATGTCTGACTTTGCTTAGACTAAATCCTGCTAAAGAATTTGCCCTCTCATGTGGTTTGTAATGTAATGGGCAGCACAAATGTCTTGATACCTCAGGCTGTTGATGTTGCCATCCACTCTGCAGATCTCTTGCACATCCCCATACTGAATGTAACCCCAAACCATGATTTTTCCATTACCAATCTTGACTGATTTACATGAGCATCTTGGGTCCATGCGGGTTCCAATAGGTCTTCTGCAGTATTTGTGGTGATTGGGATGCAGTTCAAAAGACAACTCATAGAAAAAAAAATTACCTTCGCCACTTTACAAATGATCTATAGAAGTCAAGATATTATTTGTGGCTCTTACAACAGGGATTGACGACAAGTCTTTTGTCAGGTAGTGTATGTTATGCAGATGCACTCCCTTATAAAATAATAATACATGTTATTACAGAAGTTAATTACAGATTCAATAAAAATGTAAGTACAATGTAAAACATGCATGTGTAAAATAATAATAAGTGCATTGTACCAAATGATCCATTTAAATGTAAGTATATAATAATTAAGGCTACTGAATATAAAGTGGGACCATAGTATCAATTGCAGAATGCCATTAACAAAGAAGCCTTGTTATAGTAGATGCAATGCTTATTTATTCATCTGTAATCATTGGGGTTGCAAAATATATCTCCATTATAATATCAAATTCTTCTTTGCTCTTCCAAACGCCTTGCGGCTTTCGGTTATGATGAAGCAGAGTATCGACACCAACAGTGATGGGAGCAGGTGGTGTTAAATGCTGATAAAACCTGCTTTTGGGTTGATCTGATCTTTCTTTCAGGTCCCTTGGGCAAACACATGGGCTCTTATTCATGAAACTGGAGCAGAATAAACTTGTGCATGAATCGTTCATAAATCCATTTGCTGTAAATTGTTGCATTCGGTTCAATAGGACAGAGGAAGTACAGGCCCATTTTTCACAGAGGCCCATTCTGTGATATGAATGAGATTTTTCTACCATTTTTATATGTTGCCGATTCCCAGTAGATCCATACATCCCTCATTTTCATTTATAAATGATAAGATATACAAACCAATTGGACATGCTTGAACAGGTAGAGGATCCACTTTGGATTCAGCGGCGCCTGTAGCTTATGAGGTTTAATGAAGCATAGATGCAAGATGGAGCCAGATTTGTAAGAACAGTGAGGGGTATGATAAATTATAACACATTAGATTACCTAAAGCCTCATTTATTATAGCGGGATGAAGGAAAGAGGACCATAAATGTACGAATTGGGAACGAATAATAAATTGAAAGGGAAAAATAATTTCAATGCATGGTGGAGACAGGACAAAGATGAAAATATCTGTATATAATATGTAATAACGTGGATGATGTGTGTGTGTGTGTGTGTGTGTGTGTGTGTGTGAATGTTCTAGATCTTAATTAATTCTCATAAATTAGAATGTGTTGTGTTTAATTTTATTACTGAATGTTAAAAGAACTAACATGTGTTTTAACCTCTAAAATAACAGATATGATTTAAAACCACTAAAATATAATTCAGCATTTATTTGATCACGATTACTGCAAAAGCAGCAATTTTCAATTTTCTGCTTCAATTTTTTGTTAAAATCGTGATATTTCTGCCCAGGATTATTTAATGAATAGAAAGTTTAATAAAACAATCAAATATAAATATTTTTAACATTATAAATGTTAGTTTGGTTTAATTCAACCCTTGATGAATAAAATAACTCCTTAAAAAAAGAGGGGAGCTTAAACCTTTGAATATTTTCCCTTTGAAATATCTCTTATATATTTATATTAAACTTCTCTTTATATATAGATGTTTCGGACGTTCATTATGCAGCTAGCATGCAGCTCTGCATACTAATATAGATGCATCAACATAAATACAGATAAGAGCAAACCTAGCTGTGACCGATTGTCTGGATAGCAGTGTCCCTGCTGGTAGATGTTAAAACTACACTATTCAAAAAAAAAAAAAAAAAAAAAAGAGATCTCTTCTGACAGCCTTTCTAAAGTAGCTATTTATTCATACTTAATATCTTTTTATGCAGGGAACATAAATCACAGTTATTTCACAATAGTATAATAAATGTTTCAGCGGCGCCCCATTTGTTTTTGGAGGGATTTGAAAGGCATGAAATAGACTTTTCTTCTGTCTTCTGCCTTTCATGTCACAGCTCAGGATAGTTCTGGGACTGTGAGATGAATGAGGAGGCTGACGGATGACTCCAGGTGTTACTTGGTGTGCACCTGTTTTTTGTGCAAATCTTCTCTGCGCACATAAGAGCACTTCAGCACATTTATCAGTGAATGGCGCCCACTGAGAGCAGAACATGCTCACGCTGTTCCAAAAAGCCAAAAGGCAGAGCCAAATTAAAAAGAATTTAATTGGTGCCAGAAAAGAGGATATTATTAAACTTAATTCAGTCGTCTTAAGATCTCTTGATTAGTCAAGATTGACTCTTTCCTTTTCTGAAAGCTGTTTCTTTTTGAGTTACTTTATTCATCTTAGAGGAATGCAATTTATGCTGCATGTTGGAGGTTGAGAATTCTGTCGTGTTTTTGAAAGGTTTCCGCTTAATTGACCTGGATCACGTTGACTCATTTTTAAACTCAAGGTTGTCATTATTCGTGGCTAACTTAAAGCCCTCAGCTGGATTTCAGTAGAAGATCATGGTAAAATTCAGAGATGTGGTGAATCTGCGGTGAATCTGCTCTCTGATTTGATCCCCCCCTCAGGTCATCACTGTCACTGGACTTAGCTTGATGCTAGGCTAATGAGTATTGCCTGAGGCGGGATGGTTGCTGGGACATGACCTTTTTGGCGTCGTGTTCATTATCTCCTCTCAGTCAGACTCCCTCCATTCCAGTCCTTTTTCATCCCTAATCCTTTTTTTGTGGACACGGATGACAGGAAAACTGTCAGAATTTGGTGAGAAGAATTTTTAGCTGTCCCAAATGATGTACAATACACTGTGTACTTACTTACTGTGTACTCAATTGTCTAGTGTATGAACTTTATAAAGTTCTTTTGTCACTCAACAACAGTCTGAA